AAAGACCCTCGGGATGACCCTGGCTCACCTGGCGATCCGAGCCAACGGCCCCACCGCCGGTCTTTACCTCTATCCCTGGGAAGTCCCTTTTGCCACGTAAGGCGCCCAGAGTGGACAGCTCTAACAGCCATCATTCTGCGTACGCCAGATGTCCTCTTACCGAAGCGGGGTCAATTTGAGAATCAAACTAAACAACTCTAGTAACACGCTACAGCTCACTGGAATGAAAAAGAGCTAAGTGTGAAACCAAGAAATGGGAATGATAGTGTCTTGAACGCTGGTGTAAAAAAGCGGGGGTGAAGGCCCTGCCCTCCCTCACGGCGGAGTGCTGCCCAGGAGACGCAGCAGGAGCAGTAGAGTCACCAGCCGGGCTGGGTGACATGTCTGACACCCCCAGAACCCCCACTACGCAGGAGGCCGGGTAGGGAGGACTGCTTGAGGCGAGGAGTTCACAGCTGCAGTGAGCTGTGATCATACCACTGCATTCCCGCCTGGACAACACAGTGAGACCCCACCTCTAAAACAAACACAAAGAAATAGTCACCCTCAGGGGGTCCTGGGGTGGCCGATTCAGCACCAGTGGACAGGCTGGTGGACAGAGGATTCATGGGCGGTGATGATTCTGGTGCATTTTACCCCCCGTGGGTGAGGCCCCGGTTTCTTGCGTGGACAGTGGTGTTGGGAAGCCACAGGCATCGTCCAGCCCAGCTGCAGAGGAGGCAGGGCTGCCCACAGCCTCAGCAGTACCACAGAGGGCCAGGGCACTGGCAGGGGTCACCAGAGTTGAGGGGTCTGCTTTGAAGTGACCTTCCAGTTCTTCTCGCTTCGACTCTCCTGAGGCCTGGGAGAGGACCAGGGACTGCATGGCCAGGCTGGGCTTGGAAGAGCCTGGGGGGCGCCGTGCAGTGTGTGCGGTAGCAGAGGGTTGAAGCGTGGGAGGCTGGATTGAATGGGCTTTCAAGAAGTTTCAGAAACAAAGCCACGTGCAACTGTATCTTCCTGGCATGAGTTTCCAGGCTGAGTGAGGTCCCAGGTGCCCCTTGTCGCGTCTGGGAAGAGGCGGGCACTAAAGAGAAGGACAGGCTAGCAGACCCCACAGAGGCCCCCCCGCCTGCTGGCATGGGCTGGTCCTAAGGAGATAAGTGAGGCCTCCTGTGTGGCTCGTGGAGGGGCAAGCAGGGCAGTGGAGCCAACAGGGCCAGGCCACGCTGTGGGTGTCTGTAGCATCCCAGAGTCTCAGTGTTCACCCTGTAAAATATGGATGACGATACCACCTGAGCAAGCCTGTAGTGGGGACTGAGCAATGGGATGTGTGTGCATGTGTGCATTCCTGTGTGTGTGCCAGGGTATGTGTGTGCGCATGTGTGCATGTGTGTGTGCACGTGTGGGTATGCATGCATGTGTGTGCATGTGTGAGCATGCATGTGTAAGTATGGCTATGCACACGTGTGTATGCACATGTGCGTGTGTGTGCACATATGTGAGCATGCATGAGTGTGTGGGTATGTACGCACGCATCTGTGTGCACGTGTGTGGGTGTGTATGCATGCATAGGCATGTGTGCACGTGTGGGCATGAATCTTCCTGTGTTGTGGCCTGTGTACAGTGTGTCTGTTCACATGGTCACAATATGGTTGCATGCATGTGATGTGTGCATGTATGTTTTGTGTGTTTTTATGCATGCACACATGTGGGCATGTATGTGTGCTGCATTGTTATAACAGGTATCATGGTGCCCAGGGCACTCGGCCTGGCCCTGGGGATCTGGGGTCAGAGCCTAGTCTGTCTTACAAGCTGACAGCCAGCGAGCCCAGGCAGCAGGTGGCTCCGTGCTGAGGAGGGCACAGAGAAGGCTCTGGGAGTGCAGAGGTGTCAGGCGTGCTTGTCTGAGGGCGCCAGGGCCAAGAGCTGGTGGGCCTGAGGGAGGCATCAGTCCGCGGCCAAGAGGCTGTGGGACCCTCCTCCTCTGCCCGGGGACAGGGCCTGGGCTCGCTGGTGTCCTGGACAAGCCACCTCACTTCCATGGACCCCAGTGTCCTCATCTGCAAAGTGGGGTGGTAGTGATTCTTTCTCCCTTCCCTCCTTCCCTTCCATTCCCTTCTTCCGTTCCCTTCCCTCTCCTCCCTCTCTTCCCTTCTCTTCCCTCCCTCCCCTTCCCTCCCCTTCCCTCCCCTTCCCTCCCCTTCCCTCCCCT